TTCACTGCACTCTCCAGCTATAGTCAAGGTATTCAGGATGGTTGGACATGCGGTCATGTGCTCCACACACCCCAGGCCCACTCAGGTCACATGAATGTCATGTGACCTCCTCTCCCCAGCTCTCGTCCTCCCCTCCCTCGCTGGAGTCCTACCAGACCTACCTGGACCACGTCAAGAAGGCCAAGGATGATCCGATGTTTATCAACACACTCTACCAGAGAGCCGTGGCTGATCATTGTCTCGTCGTTGATCTGTGGAAAGACTACCTCACATATCTGGTACGTATATAGTGTTACATGTCTATACTGTGTGTATACAACTCTGTATTATGCTAGCAATGCATTTCAGCGAGCGAGCGTGAGCAGTTCAATTAGTTTAATCTCAACATTTCATTGTTCTCTCACTCCCCCAGAACTCATCGTTTGGTGAGACGTCGTCGGTTCTTCTTCCACCGCACCGTCAGGCAGTGAGGAACTGCCCCTGGGTGTGTGAGCTGTGGGTCAGCTGTGGTCTAGCCCTGGAGAGAGTGGGAGCTGACGAGACTGAAACTATCGGTGAGCAGAGTGTGACTTTGGTGGGTTGAACTTAAGTTAAGTTAAAACCCTTTGGACGCCATGGGTATCTCTTTAAATAAGCAGAAATTGATGTTTAAATAAGCAGAAATTGATGTTATAAAGTATTAGCGCCTACTATATATTATGACCCCATATAAATTCTTATGGACTTACTGTATGGAGGCTCTGGACACATTTATGTGTCCGTGGCTGGTTAAGTGTGCAAAATGTGTATTAATGAAAAGAGGGGGGCAAACCCTCTATTTGTGTGCATTAAATTATTCACTTAAACCTTAAAGGGGGGAAAGTTTATCAAGACCCCCCCAAAACAACCCCTGCTCAAGCAGTAATTCGTAACAACATTTGTTCCTTCTATTCCATGGGAACAGATTGTATGCATGGTAGATGGTACTAAATATTGTCTCCTTTAGTTTAACCCTTTTGCCTTTGGTTGATCTTCTTTTTCTCACTGAATGCAGCTGTCTTTGAGAAAGGTCTGACAGGTGGTAACTTCACCTCACCTAGTGACAGTCTCACGCTATGGACCGCCTACCTCGACTACCTCCGTAGGAGAGTTCGTCTCCACGACGACCAGGTTCGATAAACAATGCATCTCTATAAATGCGCAACATTATACGTGAGTTGAAGGAGCTCCGCCGCATCTTTTTTCTCTTGGCATCACATGGTCTAATACCTTCAGAGGTACATAAGGGGACGACTAACCAAAAAGCTACTGCATTTTTGTACATCCCATTCTGAAACCTATTTCAGTATAAGACTTATATTTTGTATCATTTGTGAAATGTCTCACACTTGAATGTGGGAAATACCACTCTTTTTGTGGTTTATGTATAATTATTGTATAGGAAGTCAAGGGGGACCCTCCAGAGCTGATTGGGTTGAGGAAGACGTTTAAAAGGGCTCGGGACACTCTGGAAACTGGTAGCCTATATTATCTTCCCTCCAGCTCCCCCTCTTTCTCCTCTCTCTCTCTTAACTTCTTCCTTGCGGCTTTTTAGGTATAATATATATTGCGTGACAGGCTTACTACGTATGTGCTAAAGCACTACTTGTGCCAACTACGTTGTGTTTGGGTTTGCAGAGTTTGGTCGTTATGGAGACCCGACCGATTCCCTCTCGCTCTACCAAGCTCGTCTGGAGTCCCGTTGCTATGACAACCTCGAGGAATGTCGTTTCCTCTGGGATGACATCATGAGTCGCCATGGTCGCGAGGCAAAGTACTGGATCCAATATGCCGACATGGAACGGTGTGCAGCACACTCACACACATTTCACTTTTGTAAGGCCACCCTATTTTATACAACTGTGCATTATCTCCAGATAGCTGGAGAGTGCAGTGAAAGAATAGGGTGGCCTAAATTGTTCGTACTTTTAGCAAGCAAGTGGGGGGAAGGACAGGCCAACTAACCATCCTGAATACCTTGACTATAGCTGGAGAGTGCAGTGAAAGAATAGGGTGGCCTAAATTGTTTGTACTTTTAGCAAGCAAGTGGGGGAAGGACAGGCCAACTAACATCCTGAATACCTTGACTATAGCTGGAGAGTGCAGTGAAAGAATAGGGTGGCCTAAATTGTTTGTACTTTTAGCAAGCAAGTGGGGGGAAGGACAGGCCAACAACCATCCTGAATACCTTGACTATAGCTGGAGAGTGCAGTGAAAGAATAGGGTGGCCTAAATTGTTTGTACTTTTAGCAAGCAAGTGGAGAGAAAAGACAGGCAAACGACATCCTGAATACACTTGCTATGGCTGGAGAGTGCAGTGAAAGAATAGGGTGCGCTAATTGTTTGTACTTTCAGCGCAAGTTAGTGGAGGAAGGACGGGCAAACAACTAACCATCCCGAATACCGCGCTATAGCTGGAGAGTGCAGTGAAGAAGAGGGTGCCTAAATTGTTCGTACTTTAGCAAGTAAGTGAAGGACAGGCTAACCAACCAGCTGATACCTTAACTATAGCGGAGAGTGCAGTGAATTGAAAATAGGTGGCCTCTAAAGTGTTCGTACTTTAGCACAGCAAGTGTGGAGGAAGACCGACGAGGCTAACCAACATCTGACTACACTGACTATCTGAGTGAGTGTGAATGTGAAATAGGTGGCATCCTAAATTGTCGTACTATTTAGCAAGCAGTCGAAGGACAGGCACAACTAACATCCTGAATACCTTGACTATAGCTGGAGAGTGCAGTGAAAATAATTATAGTCAAGGTATTCAGGATGGTTAGTTAGCCTGTCCTTCCCCCCCACATGCCCATTAAAAGTTTAGGTCACATTTTCTAAAGTACGAAAAGAGTTACTTTCTCTTCCAGTTACTATGGTGACCCGGAGAAGTGTCGAAGATCTTAATCCGTGGTGTGAATTCGGCAAGCGACGACCCGGAGCTGGTGATGGAGACACTGCTGCAGTTTGAGAGGGAGGAGGGAGATCTAGCCAGCTACGAGGCCGCTCGCGAGAAATGCACCGCTCAACTCAAGAGGCTCGAGAAGAGAAAGGAAAAGGTGAACACTTGTTTACGGATGTGATGAAAAATTAGCATCAAGTCAAAACCTACAATAGCACGAGCAGTATTGTATTACAATAATGTATGGAGACAATATTCACCACTAGGAATGCGCACGCGCCTATTTTGCCTCGCGCCTGCCAGCCAATGTGTAAACAGTCTGACTGAGGCCGCTCGTGCGTGCGCTCTACTGACTGCGCGCAGACCAGACCTCAGCGACTGCTGCCTAGCGAATGACGGAAGTTACACTTCCTTTTGGTGACTAATTGACATTCCTAAGCGTAACTAATTGACGACGTACATACGCATATCACGAGAATACAACCCGGAGTAGTTGTCTCACGGGCTGACGCGCTCGGCAATAAAAACACATTTCACAGCATTTGAATGGAGAAGTGGCATTAGAGAAAAAGTTAAACGATCAAATGATGAGCGATTTTGGAAACTTTTCTTCTTCGACCGTATCTATAGGCTGCAGAGAAAGAAGGTCAACAAAAGGAGAGTAAAAAACAGGCAAAGAAAGCAGCGAAGAAATCTGCCGGTTCTGGGGCCGACGCCGGTGGGAAGGGGAAGTCGTTGCCACAGCAACAGAAACATAAGAAGCCCGGTGGCGGTAAACGGAGCAGGGTTCAGAAAGGTCAAGTGTTTTTCGAAGAAGACGATGATGAAGAAAATGAAGGCGAACTTCAACCCAAGAGGCAAAAAGGTTGGCTTTAACTCCCAGTATATCTGCATTTTTCACACCTTTGCACTTTCTCTATACATACAGTTGATGTTCCCAAAACAGATGCCACCATGGAAACTGAACCACCACGGCAACCAGAAACTCCTCCCACTAGTGTTTCCATGGCAGCAGAACCGAAAAGAAGTATCCCTGAGCCGCCTGGGATGCCTAAAAAGGAGGGAGAGAGGGAGGGAGATGGGGAAGGGGTTGAGAAGGGAGGGGAGGAGAAACGAACCGTTTTTGTTAGCAACTTGAAGATGTCTGTCACGAAAGAGGACTTGGAGGAGAAATTTTCACCAGTAAGTCCGAATCACACAATATACGTAGTTTGCAGTTCACTGCTGCAGAAAAACGTGTAAGGTCATTTCAGCTGATGCTATATACTATATATGGTATACAGTGAATCGTTGAAGAAGGAACACCTCGTGACACCAGAACTGTCCTTTTCATAGTGTCCCTTATTCAGAGGTACACAATGATATGGAGAGAACCAAGTTGCTTTCTCTGTTTGTAGGGTCCGAATGTATGTACATCTTCCCTCCTGAAAATGTAGAAGTGATTCGCATTTTATCAGGGCCATTTTCACTCTATATGTCTTTCTTTCTACACCCACATCTTCCCTCTCTCCCTCTCCCTTATTTCATCTCCTTCCCACAACAACAGTGCGGCACCATTTCAGAAGTCCGGCTGATAAAGTCGCAGTCACGCGGCCGTGCCAACGCTTTTGCCTACGTAGAGTTTGCCGCCACCGAGAGCGTCCAGAAGGCTCTCCAATTAGAGCACACCGAGCTAAACGGGAGGATTGTGTTCGTGTCGCAACACAGAGAGAAGGGAGGAGGCGGAAAGACTCAGCAGAAGCAGGCCGGCTTTCAGGTACATCTTTGATTTCTTCGTACAACTTTTGAATAAGGGACTTTGTGAGAGAGTCCTTTATTCATACAGTGTCCCTTAATTCCAGTAAAGTTCTGGGGCAGAACCAAGTGTCTTTTACAAAGATTTTCCTTATTCACTCTACATGTACATACTTTGACCTCGTTGATGGCACATGCAACAAAACCTTTTTTTCACTTCTTCTCTTTCTCACTCTCAGAGTTGCAAAACATTCTTACCCACTTGTACATTAAGAACTGATTTCTCGGCGCACTTTTTTCCCTACAAATTTGCACTTTGACGGAGCACGTTACAAGTCAATTAGCTTGCTATATTATTGATGTCACATGCTACTATAATATAGAAGTCTCCATTCTAATAGGGAAATAACAAGGCTACTGTGTTTGTGTCAAATCTTCAACACAACACAGATGAACAGACACTGAAAGACCTGTTTGAGAAGGTGAAATACAGATGAAGAACTATAGTGTGGAGAATTAACCCTGTTCTCTCTCACTGGTAGTGTAGAGAATTAACCCTGTTCCCTCTCACTGGTATATAGTGTGGAGAATTAACCATGTTCTCTCTCACTGGTATATAGTGTGGAGAATTAACCATGTTCTCTCTCACTGGTATATAGTGTGGAGAATTAACCATGTTCTCTCTCACTGGTATATAGTGTGGAGAATTAACCCTGTTCTCTCTCACTGGTAGTGTGGGGAGGTGAAAGAGGTGAGACTGGTGAGAAATAGAGATGGTCGACCAAAAGGATTTGCTTACATTGAATTTACGAACGAGGTAAATTTAACCTTTTCCTTTCTTAATACTTTTTGCTCACGAGGTGTACATGTACAGTACTTACCATTTTACTGACGAGAAAACCTCTTTACTCAACCCTTTGCTTTTACATTAACCTTTTGTTGACTGAGTATCTTTTTCTTAACGTTTTAGTGTATCACTCTTTAGTAGGGATGACACACATGCCCACACATTAGAGATTTTGCGTTCACTCTTTTATTCCTTTTGCTTATGAGATGTATGCTTTTACTTGGGTAATATTGTTTTTAACCCTTTTCAGGCCACTGCAGGGTCGGCAGTTCTACAGCTAGACAATCACCTGCTAGGCATGAAGAGGTTAAAAGTTGCCATCTCTAACCCTCCAAAGAAGAAGGGGGATGGACCAGCTGCCCCATCCGCGGATAGGACGTCCCATTCAAGACCGATCAAAGATGATGGAGGTTTCGTTCGTCCATCATTCATACCTGCACGGATCAAAGCACAGGAACAGTCTGAGTGAGTCAAATTATTTTCTGGACATCCTAAAATTTTAGTTGCAACCTGGAAAAAAGTTTTATTTGTGAAAATGGAGGACTATAAGTTTGTTTTACCCACAATATCGATACACTTATAATGTGTACATTGTGCCTTTCGAATTTCCTAACACTTTTCTCTTGAAATGCGAAGTTGTTGTGTTATGTCTTATTGCAGGGTGCCTAGAAAGAGGGCAAATATAGGACTAGTTCCACGTGTGCTGGCAAAACAGAACAAGGAGAAGGGAGAGGAAGGGACTGAAGGAGTGAAAGAGGGAGAGAGCGGGAAAGAGGGAGAGGGAGGAGGAGGAGGAGGAACTGATGCTATGGATGTTGGAAAAGCAGCACCGCAGAAAATGTCTAATGATGACTTTCGTAAACTACTCGACAAGACCTAAATTTCAGAACTCTCTTTTACCATGAGCACTTTGTTTATGAATAGCAGCCCTCATTGATTCCGTTTTTCAAGCAACACTGTTACCATAATAGTTATAGAGGCGTGGTTTAAAAGGGCGTGGTTTATGGTTTTGCAGTCGTCAGCAAAAACATCGTTAGGCCGAAAACATGGGCAACTACTTCTCCAAGAAAGGTGGCGGTGGGGGAGGAGAGAAGGAGAAAGAAACGGTCACGAAGCTGAGAAGAAGGATAGAAAACCCTTACGTCTTCACCAGAACGAGGTAATGCCGCACGCAGCGCGAACACGTTACCGCTTCGCGCCCCCGTACCGTTGCGCGTTCTGCGTACGTACAGTTCTATGTTCTTCGACGAGGACGGGGACTTGGCGCACGAGTTCTATACGGAGCAAAGAGTGGAGGTGAAGGCAGGCGTCGTCAGATGGGTCATGAGGAAAGTTAGCTCCGCCCACCTGACGCCACAGGTCAATCTATTTCTATCACATTTTGCAGTGCTGTATCATGCTAGGGGTTATCCTCGCTTTTTCTATTGGCAAAAGTCACCTTTGAGATTTCTCCTCATGCAACCGTTTGTAAGCTATTTCTCCCTAGGCTGCTTGTTATATATTTTATGTTATCGGCAGATACACAAGCACAATGTTCTTGCGATTTTGAAGAGGTGAATTGATTCTCTTCCCATTCTTTTTAGGGAACTGTTGATCTCCCGTTTCCACGGCTACATGTAGATCTACCAGTGGTGATAGTAGATGCAGTGTTCACATTTCCAGTACGGCTTCCTGACTAATTTGCATTACATCATCTTTTTGTCATTTGCCATTAATCTGTCTCAATTCTTTTACCCTGGGTAGTAAATTTTTCCACAAACCTCTGCGAATCGCCTTGACATAGTGCGCATGTGCAAACAATATTGGGCGTGGCTCATCGATCTGCGCGCAAAAACCATGGCTGTGCGCATCGCTTTCTTTTCGGCTCTCCTGCTGTCGTCCGCGCTCTCTCAGTCGCAGAAGAACGTTCTCTTTCTTCTACTGGACGATGCCGGCTTCCAGACTCCAGTCTACGGCAACACGCACGTCAAGACGCCAAACATGGACGCGCTCGCGGAACGGTTTTCGCGCAGATCGATGAGCCACGCCCAATATTGTTTGCACATGCGCACTATGTAAAGGCGATTCGCAGAGGTTTGTGGAAAAATTTACTACCCAGGGTAAAAGAATTGAGACAGATTAATGGCAAATGACAAAAAGATGATGTAATGCAAATTAGTCAGGAAGCCGTACTGGAAATGTGAACACTGCATCTACTATCACCACTGGTAGATCTACATGTAGCCGTGGAAACGGGAGATCAACAGTTCCCTAAAAAGAATGGGAAGAGAATCGCCTTTACATAGTGCGCATGTGCAAACAATATTGGGCGTGGCTCATCGATCTGCGCGAAAACCATGGCTGTGCGCATCGCTTTCTTTTCGGCTCTCCTGCTGTCGTCCGCGCTCTCTCAGTCGCGCCTACACGTCCGTCAGCAGTTGTTCTCCGAGCCGCTCCGCCGTACTGACGGGCCTTCCGCAACACCAGAACGGAATGTACGGTCTGCACGGAGGAACTGCGCCTTTCTCATCGTTTGACGAGGTATGATAGGTTGATGCAGTAGCTCAATCTACAACCCAACAATACTTTTGGTCCTAGCACTTGTTAATCGTGTGAAACTCAGGCACAATCTAAAATCCGTGTATACATCTGATCATAAGCTGAGCAGCTATACGTTACTGCATACTTGCAGGTGAAAAGTCTGCCTCTCATTCTAAATAAAACTGGTGGCGACTTCTGGTACGGAATCATCGGCAAGAAACACGTGGGCCCAGACTACGTGTACCCATTCCCATTCTCCTATACCGAAGAGCACTACGACCTCGACCAAGTCGGTAGAAACATCACCCGAATGAAGGAAATAGTCTCAGAGTTCTTCACTCTTGCAAAGAGCAAAGGAAAGCCCTTCTTTCTCTACATTGGGATCCACGATCCTCACAGAGGAGCGGACCAGGCACAGATGCAGGAGTATGGACAGTTCCTCGAGAGATGGGGGGATGGAAGTCCAGGCATGGGACTGATCCCAGACTGGACTCCGACCAATTACTCCCCAGAAGATGTCAAAGTTCCGTATTTTTTGCCAGATACCAACGCCACGCGAAGTGACCTAGCTGCTCTGTACCGCACTATTAGTAGGTATGACCAGGGAATCGGGATTTTCATGCAACTTTTGGAGGATTTCGGATACGACGAAAACACGCTCGTGTTTCTAACCTCAGACAACGGCATTCCTTTCCCAAATGCCAAGACAAACCTATACGATCCCGGCATGGGTGAGCCCCTGTTCATCTCAAACCCACTTGCCAAGCAGAGGTGGAACACAACCACCCAAGCAATGTCGAGTCACACCGACATGGTACCAACTGTACTGGACTGGTTTGATCTTCCTGTCCCATCCTATACCGTGAATGGACATAAGGTAGTCCTGCACGGAACGTCGCTTCTCCCAGTAACAGTCAAGGAACCGACAACTGGTTACGATAAAGCCTTCTCCAGTCACAATCTCCATGCAGCCACAATGTATTATCCAATGAGGGTCCTTCGCAACAAGCAGTATAAACTGATACATAACCTCAACTATAAGATGCCTTATCCAATGGCTCAAGATATCTACTTTTCTCCCTCGTTTCGTGACATCGTTAATCGCTCAATTGCAGGGGAATCCCTCCCATGGTTCAAAACACTGGAAGAGTATTACTATAGAGATCAGTGGGAGTTGTTTGATCTTGAAAAGGACCCACAGGAACTGGACAACCTTGCCTACGACCCTACTTATGATTCCATTCTCAAGGTATGCTATATAGTCATGTGACCTCAAATCAGTGAGTCACATGACTGACAACTTATTATGCACTTTTGCATGTTACTGCTAGGGCGACCAAACCCTATTGTTCAATGCACAAAGCATGCCAATATTCAAATACACCAAACACCTTACAAAAATCGAGTATCATATTGATCTCACCTGGATGCATGTAGAGGACTCGAAGTATAGACAACTTGTCCATAAACAGTAACTATAATCATGCGTATAAAGCCTCAAGATTCTATTGTTGATGGAGATGACTATAGTATTGCTATTACACTTCCACAGCCAATGCAGGAAGAACTTTACCTGTGGCAGAAAGACACCAATGACATTTGGAGGTGTGGTCCATCTGGTGTGCTGGTGTATGAGGCAGACGATTCGTGCTACCCTCTGGACAACGATACCTAACTATTATGTTCTGCTGTTACATTATTTTGGATTATTATGTATTGTACAGTAGGACAGTTAGTGCTGTGTTTGTGTTTTACTTAGAAATGGAAAACTCTCATGATTTGTCTTCACTACACTTTTCACCAACAGTCATGCATGAATCCACACACACATTTTATGCACCACAAAATATTTACGACAGTGTTTTAACTGCGTTACGTTTGGTGCAAGCTGCCATTGTTCCGTGAGCCACGCCCAACATTTTTGCACATGCGCACTTCACTTATTGTCGATGGATATTGATCAGGGAAAATTTCCCATTCATTATCAGATTCACCATATACAGTATGCTTACACATTGCGATTCATTCGTCTGAAAGATATTTGTTAGCCCAGTAAACAGTTCAGAAAATCCAAGAAAGAAGCATCTCATCCCTACTAAACGTGACAACCAATCAAAGATAAAGGTATGCTACTTGTCAAATTTGCATGTTTTGTTGCAATAGCTATTTATTCGGCGTTCGAACAAGCGCTACATGTTAGTGAGTGTGTATACACAGGAACAAGAAAAGGTATTAGCCAGCTTTCTTCAGTCATCTATAGTGTGGCTAATCCATGTGCTAACGCCAACGCAAATCTTACACATCTTTCAGGTTAGCAACACAAAACACCGTGTTCCCCTACAGGACTACAATATTCTGTCTTTTGTTCGCTCCAAAGCGAACTTTCACACCACGGTGAGCACTAAATAGAGAAAGACGGAGTGCACCTCCTCGCCCTGCTGCTGTTCCGGAAAGCCTAGCACCTCGAGGAGTTTGTCACAAGCAAAGAAGACGGAATAAAGACTTTTCTACTAAGACTGATACTAAGAATCGCTAGACAACGAACCAAGCCGCACTTCTTTGGCAAATAGCCCCGCCCGACAACGGCCCAATTTTGGCATGGATATGACGAACAATTCGACCCGGAAGCCCTCGTGGAAAGAGCGACTGACGACCGTCTCGAAGGTCTTTGGCGTTGGAGGCACCACGAATTGGCAGAGCCCCACGGAGAAGGCGCGGGTGAACGGCCGTAAGCAGCACGGAGGAGAGAGGGAGAGAAGAGAGAGACGAAACGCTCTGCTGTTGCTTCGAGGAGGAGAAGAAGAACAGGGGTCGGTCAGCGAGAAGTGGTGCGTGTTGGACGCGGACGGAAGTGATTTATCGTTCGTTGCGGTTTCTAGTGGCGGTAGTATCGCTGACCAAGAAGGAATTGTGTACACGGCGGAAGACGTTTTCTACACGAGCTCTGAAGAAGCGGGCGTCATGGAGCACACGGACGGACTGCTGGACAGGTTCAGGGGCGCCAAGAAAGCCGACAAAGTGGACGGGAGTGGCAGCGGGAAGAGCAGTCCGGCAGCGGGTGCTTCTCCTCCATCTACCGGGATCGGGTCGCGGAAATCTTCCTTCGGCTCGCGGTTGCGCCCGGACGGGAACAAGGTGACGCGCCCGGGGAGCCCGCAGCCGCTACAGAGACGCTCCAGCGGCCGGGGACGCTCGAAGCTGGACGCACAGGGACACGACACTCTAGCCGTGGCCGCGAACGGAGACGGTTCTCCACGCAGCGTCTCCCCGACTCGATCCTCGCGTCGGAAACTCAGCCACGGTGGAAGCAACCCGCCTAGTCGTAACGAGTCTCCCAACCTCTCCGAGCCGCGGAAGATGTCGGGACACGAAGCACACAGCGGACTTCACGTAAAGCATCATCACCAAAACGGCAAAAACAGCCGCGGCGGTTCTCCCACCGGCTCTCCTTCGCCTGGCGGTGAATCTGCCTTCTCTAAAGTCCGCGACACCCTCAAAATCAGCAAAGCAAAGAAGAAACTAAGGAAAAATAAGAAGGGCTCGGCTTATTCAGTCGACCCGGTGGAAATAAACTTCCCTGCTACCAAGTATCAAGACCCGTTTGAGACCCACCCGAGCTACACGGACAGTTTGGAGGTGGCGTCGAAAGCGCAAAGCCACGATTTCAGGCCAGTTTCGATCCCCCACAACAAGCCGGAGTACTGCGACACTGCAGGAGAGGGACCGGTACAGGTTGTGTGGCGAGGGGCCCTTGAGGTGACGTCTGCTGGGTTAGTGGTTCCTTTGGGCGTGGGGTGAGGGTGAGGCGGCGGTTTGTCGTGGGGGCGGCAGAGTAGACGACAGGGGGGGCGATGGGAATGCTGCGGAGAGGCAGGGTGACTTGCAGTGCTGTTGTGTGATCCTGGAGCCATTGGTTGCCGGTGCGATCACCTATTGAGCGTTCATGGCTGGTGCATTATGATCGTAGTTAAAGTCCCCATTGGGAGCTCCCCTGGGCGTCCGGGTATTATAAACCCCATTGGCGCTAGAATTATCCGCTGTTGGTGCTTGGAAAGTATACAGCGACATTTACTGTAGCATATCCCAATTGTAAGGGCCCTCCCTGTGCTTGCTATTAGCCTGGATGATTAATGGTGTGGTGTGGTGGGTGTGGGAGGGTAATAGGGGGTTGGTTAGCTGTTAATTGTGTGGGGCTGGAACGACTCGTCCGTCACATCTCATGTGTGTTCTAAAAGGTTGGGGTGTTCTGGCGGACGGTAGAATGATGAGGAAGGACCGGAAAGTCGGGCAAGAAGCATGCGGGCTCGCAGGGGTGTCTGGTACTTAGTTGGCGATAGGTGGCTGCGCTGTCGGTCGTCGCCGCTTGCGATAGCTGGTTGTGGTCGACGCGCGGGGGGAGGACAACTAAACTTTGTCGCGCGAGACTCAACGTACGGAGGAAAGGCGAGAGCGCGAAAAATTCGAGGCAGTGGGTTCGGCCCGGGCGGGCGCACAGGCTCGTGTGCGGCGGTTTCGCGATCCTCTGGGGGTTAGGGGTCAGGCTAGTGAAATGACGTAGAGTTCGGGAGTGAGGCGTTTGATTAATACCCAGCGGGGAGAGGAGGTGGCAGGTGGGCCTGCTCGGGATGGGGTATGCGTGCCGGGTGGGGAGCGAGTGGGTTGGGGGCGCGGAAGAAGTAACAGGGGGTAGGGGGGAGTCGGTATGTGAACGAACCGCGGGTAGAGCATAAAAGGGGCTTACCAGCATCGGGTAGCCCGGCGACCCGATCCCTTACTGTGGGGGGTTCCTAGTGCTGTTTCCGGGGTCAGGGGGTGGTGGGGGGGTGCAAGGTAGAGGTTGGTGTGGGTTTGCTTTCTGTCTTTAAATCGGTGTGGGGGGGAGTTGAGGGGGGAAAATGGAGTACAGGGTTATTATGGTAAGTCATGTGGTGATGAGGAAGTAGGCGTAGCCGGCGATCGGAGAAGGGCCTTAACAAGGGTTGAAGCTTGGCTATCGAAGAGATTATCAATTGGTGCGTATTGGGTAGCTTGTCTGTGTCACGTATG